TTGCACAGGTGTAGTGGCTCCTCCCCTTCAGTCTTGCACAGGTGTAGCGGCTCCTCCCCTTCAGTCTTGCACAGGTGTAGCGGCTCCTCCCCTTCAGTCTTGCACAGGTGTAGCGGCTCCTCCCCTTCAGTCTTGCACAGGTGTAGCGGCTCCTCCCCTTCAGTCTTGCACAGGTGTAGCGGCTCCTCCCCTTCAGTCTTGCACATGTGTACCGGCTCCTCTCCTGGACTGAAGCGGCTTCCTCTGATATCACCGCACACTCTGAGCTCCTCACAATGTGCATTAGAAGCTGCAGCACGTCAGATAGAGCTCCACCTCATTTTCTGGCTGGAAGACATCCAGCGTTATCTAGTTCTTTCCTCCTCTGCCTGACTGCCCTGACCTGCCAGACGTTTGGAGACCCGTGAGCTCAGAGTGTGCAGTGACGTCAGAGGAAGCCGTTTGAGTCTGCGGGGAGCCCCCTGTCCCACTTGATGGCACTGTAGCGGCAGTGTGCCCCCTCCCCCCCCCCCCCCCCCCCCGGACGCTCTCCTTTAGAAGTGGTCAGTCAGTGTCGCCCCCAAGGGGACTTTTAGATGAACCGTAATTTTCGCGAGTGCTTCTGTTCCGTTACGCAACGCGGAGTTTATCCCTCTCCTCCTGGATAACATTTTGTTTACTGCCAAAAATCTAGGACGGCGGGGAGAATTATCTAGGTCATCGCTATCAGCTCCCCCTCCGATTGGTCGCTCCCTTCCCGGGGAGGAAAAACTAACTTTTTTTTTTTTTTTTATTAATCAGCCAATTGGTTTTTTTTTGTTATATTTTTGGGAGAACGCCAAATGTAGAAGAATCCTTCCCGCTGTCTGCTTCCATCATCTGCTGCACACAGGCCGGTCGATGGCTTGCACTGCATGCATAAGAATGCGTTTCCATCTCACTGTCCGAACAATCAGATATAACTAGTCCTAATAGCGTTCATCGGCCGCATCGCTCTGCTGGTCTACAAAAGGAAAATGCTCACAGTGTGCGTTTATAATGAGATCTGATCTCTGGCCTCCCCTTCAGTATTGCACAGGTGTAGCGGCTCCTCCCCTTCAGTCTTGTATATGTGTATTGGCTCCTCCCCTTCAGTATTGCACAGGTATAGCAGCTCCTCCCCTTCGATCTTGCACAGGTTACAGGCTCCTCCCCTTCAGTCTTGCACAAGTGTACCGGCTCCTCCCCGTCAGTCTTGCACAGGTGTACTAGCTCCTCCCCTACAGTCTTGCACAGGTGTACCAGCTCCTCCCCTTCAGTCTTGCACAGGTGTACCGGCTCCTCCCCTTCAGTCTTGCACAGGTGTACCGGCTCCTCCCCTTCAGTCTTGCACAGGTGTACCGGCTCCTCCCCTTCAGTCTTGCACAGGCGTAGCGGCTCCTCCCCTTCAGTCTTGCACAGGCGTAGCGTAGCCCGGCTCTCCCCTTCAGTCTTGCACAGGCGTAGCGGCTCCTCCCCTTCAGTCTTGCACAGGCGTAGCGGCTCCTCCCCTTCAGTCTTGCACAGGCGTAGCGGCTCCTCCCCTTCAGTCTTGCACAGGCGTAGCGGCTCCTCCCCTTCAGTCTTGCACAGGCGTAGCGGCTCCTCCCCTTCAGTCATGCACAGGCGTACCAGCTCCTTCCCTTCAGTCTTGCACAGGCGTAGCGGCTCCTCCCCTTCAGTCTTGCACAGGCGTAGCGGCTCCTCCCCTTCAGTCTTGCACAGGCGTAGCGGCTCCTCCCCTTCAGTCTTGCACAGGCGTAGCGGCTCCTCCCCTTCAGTCTTGCACAGGCGTAGCGGCTCCTCCCCTTCAGTCTTGCACAGGCGTAGCGGCTCCTCCCCTTCAGTCTTGCACAGGCGTAGCGGCTCCTCCCCTTCAGTCTTGCACAGGCGTAGCGGCTCCTCCCCTTCAGTCTTGCACAGGCGTAGCGGCTCCTCCCCCTTCAGTCTCGCACAGGGGTAGCGGCTCCTCCCCTTCAGTCTCGCACAGGTGTAGCGGCTCCTCCCCTTCAGTCTCGCACAGGTGTACCGGCCTCCCCTTCAGTCTCGCACAGGTGTACCGGCTCCTCCCCTTCAGTCTCGCACAGGTGTACCGGCTCCTCCCCTTCAGTCTCGCACAGGTGTACCGGCTCCTCCCCTTCAGTCTCGCACAGGTGTAGCGGCTCCTCCCCTTCAGTCTCGCACAGGTGTACAGGTGAAACGCGTTGCCCTTAGAGACACACACAGCCACACTTTGCCACATTGGAAAAAAAATCAGGGACTTCTCTTACACATTTTATTGGCTGCCCTGCACTCAACACATGGGAACATGTGAAAAACACGTGGAAGTGCGCCCACACTTAGTCACGCCTGCAGATGTGAACCAAGCATTAGCGTTGCATTCATTTTCTTTTTTCATGCGTCAATGTGCTAACCCCATCTCCGTCTCTCCCTCCCGCAGTCTATCTCCGCATGGAAGCCCCAGCTGGCCCTGTTTTGCGGGCGGGTCCCTCTCCACATGGACCTGACAACAGGGGAGTGGGTGTCAGACCCCCGCGGCGTGCCAAGCTGTCCAGGAAACAATGATGAGATCTTACAGCACTGCAGACAGGTAAGGAAGTCTCACCGCCAGAGATATGCGTTTTGCTCATCAGTGTCTCTTCAGTCAGCGTCTACATCTGTCAGAAACTGATAAGGAAATCAACAAAATAAAAAATCAATAAAAATGGAAGAAAACTGCATCTCTTTGCATCAAATCCTTTGTATCCAAAGCTCTTCACATTGGTTTGCTGCGCTTCAGTTGCGGGTACAAAAAAAAAAGCCTGCTTGCTGCATGTTTGGTCATGTAAAAAAAACATGCATGTTTGGTCATGTAAAAGCCCCTAATACAGGCCACAGACGGGTCGAAAATCGACCGTTTAAAAAAAACAAACACGAAAAATCGGTTGTTCGATTGGCCGACGTTACCACCAATGGTAAAAAAATCGGCTGATTTTTGTCTTGTCTACGGCCGGCATTTAACCCCATAATTACTTCTGTCCCTGCAGAGAGCTTCGCTACTATCTGGGGCAACTCCATATTATTGGCCATGGGAGACGGGGGCAATTCCATAACAATAGTCATGGGGGGAGGGGGCAACTCCATATTATTGGCCATGGGAGACGGGGGCAATTCCATAACAATAGTCATGGGGGGAGGGGGCAACTCCATATAATGGCCAAGGGGAAGGGGGCCAACTCCATATTATTAGCCATGGTGGGAGGGGGGCAACTCTGTATTAATGGCCATGGGTGGAAGGGGGGCAACTCTGTATTATTATCCATGGGGGAAGGGGGCAACTCCATAATATTGGCCATGGGGGAAGGGGTCAACTCCATATTAATGGAGATAGGGGGAAGGGGGGAAACCCCATATTATTGTCCATGTGGGGAAGGGGGCAACTCCATATTAATGGCCATGGGGGAGAGGGGCAACTCCATAACAAAGGCCATGGGGGAAGGGGGCAACTCCATAATATTGGCCATGGGGGAAGGGGTCAACTCCATATTAATGGAGATAGGGGGAAGGGGGGAAACCCCATATTATTGTCCATGTGGGGAAGGGGGCAACTCCATATTAATGGCCATGGGGGAGAGGGGCAACTCCATAACAAAGGCCATGGGGGAAGGGGGCAACTCCATACCAATGGTCATAGGGAGAAGGGGGCAACTCCATATTAATGGCCAAGGGGAAGGGGGCAACTCCATATTAATGGCCAAAGGGAAGGGGGCAACTCCATATTAATGGCCATGGGGAAAGGGGGCAACTCCATATAAATGGCCATGGGGGAAGGGGGCAAATCCATGTTAATGGCCATGGGGTAAGGGGGGTACCTCCATATTAATGGCCATGGGGGAGAGGGGCAACTCCATGTTAATGGCCATGGGGGAGAGGGGCAACTCCATGTTAATGGCCATGGGGAGAGGGAAACTCCATATTAATGGCCATGGGGAAGGGGGCAACTCCATATTAATGGCCATGGGGAAGGGGGCAACTCCATATTATTGGCCATGGGGAGAGGGAAACTCCATATTAATGGCCAATGGGGGGGGCTCTATATTAATGGCCATGGTGGGAGGGGGACTCTATATTATTGGCCATGGTGGGAGGGGGACTCCATATCAATGGCCATGGTTTTAGACTGAGGCTCAGGGGTGTGATGGTCGGTTGTCCTCAGCCTTTGGTCATGTAGTGTACATGTTCAGATCCTCATCCTGTCTTTAATAATGGAGCCTATAGACAGTAAATAGGAACAGTTAGGACTGGCCCCCCAGACTGCTATGGGCCCCGGTGCCCTTCCACCATCTTCACCCTCACAGTAAGCCCCGTTCCTCTGTCCTCTTTCCCTTCAGATATATCCGGAGTTGCAGATCACGGGTGTGACGGAGGCAGCTCAGCCGGTGACGGTGACAAACTGGTGCCAGAAACAGAAACCGGAGTGCAAGCGCCGCCTGCATATCGTGGTCCCGTACCTCTGCCTGGGTGAGCTACAAGGACATTGCGGGCCCATCTGTTGTTCTCTATGTTATTATTGGGGGCTGACTTCCTTTTAAAAGTTAAAGACAAAGTTAATGTTAAAGCGTAGGTGGGGTCTGGTGAGCTAAATCAGTAAAGGGATGGTGGGAACCCCTCATAATGGGCACAGTGGATGTACAGACCCGGGAACTCAGCACAGGGATGGTGGGAACCCCTCATAATGGGCACAGTAGAGGGTGTACAGACCCGGGAACTCAGCACAGGGATGGTGGGAACCCCTCATAATGGGCACAGAGGGTGTACAGACCCGGGAACTCAGCACAGGGATGGTGGGAACCCCTCATAATGGGTACAGCGGGCGTACAGACCCGGGAACTCAGCACAGGGATGGTGGGAACCCCTCACAATGGGCACAGTGGATGTACAGACCCGGGAACTCAGCACAGGGATGGCGGGGGAACCCCTCATAATGGGCACAGCGGGCGTACAGACCTGGGAACTCAGCACAGGGATGGTGGGAACCCCTCATAATGGGCACAGCGGGCGTACAGACCTGGGAACTCAGCACAGGGATGGTGGGAACCCCTCATAATGGGCACAGCGGGCGTACAGACCCGGGAACTGAGCACAGGGATGGTAGGAACCCCTCATACTGGGCACAGCGGGCGTACAGACCCGGGAACTCAGCACAGGGATGGTGGGAACCCCTCATAATGGGCACAGTGGGGGTAAAGATGCAGGAACTCGATATATTTCCAATTCTCTGATTTGTTTTTGTTTTTTCCCGTCCATTTTGCAGTGAACGAGTTTGTCAGCGACGCCCTTCTTGTCCCCGATAAATGTCGCTTCCTTCACCGGGAACAGATGGACATCTGCGAGAGTTACCAGCACTGGCACGAAACGGCTCGCACGGTGAGCAATGCCGGCCACACACCTCCATTAAAGGACGGCTCCATCCAAAACTGAATTCACATTTCTTTTTTCTCCCTCTCTAAGGCCTGTGCCGCAGAGGACCTCGACCTCCACAGCTACGGCATGCTGCTCCCCTGCCGCCCAGAGAGGTTCCGGGGGGTGGAGTACGTGTGCTGCCCGAACCGCAATCCCCAGCCCGTCGAACCCACAAGAAGCCACCCCGTCACCGAGCTGGAACCGCAAGACACGGAAAAGGGGTAAGAGGAACATTTGGGCGGCGCCAGGAATAAGTCATGACTTTTATAGGGCTAGAACCAGGGGCGGACTGACAACTCATGGGGCCCCCGGGCAATAGGGGATCATGGGGCCCCTGTGTCCTTGCCCACACTCAAACCACACCCAAAAAAGCCTATGAAAGGTACCAGGGGTATCTCATGAAGCCCCTTACTGACCCTGGGCCCTTGGGCAGTGCCCGAGTTTCCAAATGGTCAGTCACTGGCTAGAACTAGTCCAAGAGCCTGCCTGATCAGTAGTCCCCTGACACCCTCACAAACTATGTGCCTGTGCCCACCCCCCTCCATGCCTATGGATGCGCAGGGCAACCTAGACATGCTGGAGTATTAGACGTTCACAGAGGCTAAAATTCAAATTTTGGTGACTTTCTACTGTTCTCTTACTACCTTTATGTGAATTTGATTAACATTTCCTTTCAGAACTTGCAGACATTTTGAGCAGGGCTTTCTTAGTGTTTCTATGCAGGACTACAGCCTCTTTCCAGTCAGTCTCCATCGCATTTCCTTTTTCCTATCCACTCTTTTTTTTGTCAGGGATGAGGTGGAGATTGAAGAGGATAACGTTGACATCATCGAGGAAGGAGGAGAGGACACAGCGGGGGCCTCTCCAGACCAGCACCCGGCGGTGTGTGGGATGACTATTTTGTGGGGAATGGATATGAGGATGAAACAACCAGCAGTGCTCCTACCCTCCCCGCCGGAGGTTAAAGGTCAGACAACAGCCTATCGCTCACCTTGTAATGGGTTCAGCACCCTTAACTCCACCATTGATGTCTCCATGATGCCCCCCAATAACCTCCCTATTCTGCTTGCTCCGTAGTCTCTCGACCTACCGATGGGGTTGATATCTACTTCGAGTCACCCCGCGATGGCTCTGAACACGCCAACTTCCTGCGAGCAAAGATGGAGCTAGAAGAGAGGCGCATGAAACAGATCAATGAGGTTAGATCAACATTTTTTTTTTCTATAGTTTGTTTTCTCTGATGTAAATACCAGAAGCCATTGTCCTGGGTCTTCTTCTGGCCTCCTAAGGGTAGCCAAGTAGACTTTTCAACTCCTCCTTGAGCTTTACACTCATTTTAAGGTATGGCAAAAAGGAAATCTACAAACTCTGATGATTGTGAAGGTATTCAGTTTTATAATAACAGAAGCCATTGTCCTGGGTCTTCTTCTGGCCTCCTAAGGGTAGCCAAGTAGACTTTTCAACTCCTCCTTGAGCTTTACACTCATTTTATGATGTGGCAAAAAGGAAATCTACAAACTGATGATTGTGAAGGTATTCAGTTTTATAATACCAGAAGCCATTGTCCTGGGTCTTCTTCTGGCCTCCTAAGGGTAGCCAAGTAGACTTTTTAACTCCTCCTTGAGCTTTACACTCATTTTATGATGTGGCAAAAAGGAAATCTACAAACTGATGATTGTGAAGGTATTCAGTTTTATAATAACAGAAGCCATTGTCCTGGGTCTTCTTCTGGCCTCCTAAGGGTAGCCAAGTAGACTTTTCAACTCCTCCTTGAGCTTTTCGCCTATATTTTAAGGTGTGGCAAAAAGGAAATCTACAAACTCTGATGCTTGTGAAGGAATTCAGTTTTATAATATTAGAAGCCATTGTCCTGGGTCTTCTTCTGGCCTCCTAAGGGTAGCCAAAAAGACTTTTCACATCCTCCTTGAGCTTTACGCCTATATTTTAAGGTGTGGCAAAAAGGAAATCTACAAACTCTGATGCTTGTGAAGGTATTCAGTTTTATAATATTAGAAGCCATTGTCCTGGGTCTTCTTCTGGCCTCCTAAGGGTAGCCAAGAAGACTTTTTAACTCCTCCTTGAGCTTTACGCCTATATTTTAAGGTGTGGCAAAAAGGAAATCTACAAACTCTGATGATTGTGAAGGTATTCAGTTTTATTTTCATTTTTTTTCAAGATTAGAAAGTAAAGAGAGTAATGTGTGTGGAGATGTCCAGACATGGCAGGTGCACCAAGGGTCTAACCTCAACCAATTGACCTGACCTTTTAAGCTGCAGTTCTGGACTTGTACCATGTAGAGCCATCCTGTACATTAGCATGTCACATATTAAACCGTTCACTTAAGATTGTGCTCAAGAAGAACGTCTTTAATTGCGAGAGACATTCATTTCTGTTATCTTAGGACATTTTCAGCTTGACCAGATATTCTCAGCTAGGGTTTGTGGAAGCGTGGGGTTCCTCAAGAGGCATCTGGGGGTTCCCTGAGCTGTGACTGATTGACTTCCCATTTGATGATGCCTGCGTAGTTCCAGGGTCAACATTGTAAGAGTGGCATTCTAACCACCATTCTTCCCACCGATCACCAATGTAAGGGATATATTTCCATTGCCCCCCCAATTAAATGGCCTTAACAAGAGTTCCTCAAGACCTGAAAATTATTTTAGGAGATCCTCTGGGGTAAAAAAGATTTAAAACGGTTCAGCATGACCAGTGCAGGGTCATGTAGAGCTCAGGGTGAAGATGCCAAACGGCACCACCTGCCACCACACACAACAAAAATGTATGAACATTTTGGGTCAGCAAAAATCCCCTCCCTCCCCCCTAAAAAAAAATTGAGCACTATCTCCACACTTACCCGGCAAAGCACAAACTCCCTTTGCAAGCCACAATTCTCCCAAAATGAAAATTCCCCCCAATTCCAGTACAAATCCCCCCTCCCAGCTCAAATCTCTTCCTCCCCAAATCCCCCTCCTAGCACAAATCCTCTACCCCTCAAATTTCCCTTCTGAGCATACATTCTCTAACCCTTAAATTTACCTCTCTCATCATAAATCCCTCCCACCTTTTCCAAATCCCCTCTCCTAGCACGAATTCTTTCCCCCAAATGTCCCCTCTTAGCACAAATCCCCCCAATCATCCCTACTAGCACAAATACCTCCCCCCCCCCCCCAAAATCCCCTTTTCTCCTCCAAAGCTCTTTGCAATAGTATAGGTCAGCCTTTCTCAACATTTTTACCCTACAGGAACTCCTTAAATAATTTCAAGGTTTTGGGGGAATGCCTGCTAAAACCAATTAATTGAGGGTCATTGGGAAAAAATGCCCCTTACGTTGGTGGTCAGTGGGGAAAAATTCCCCCCCTTATAGATAGCTAAAAAGATTATTGGTGTCATGCCATTGACTGTGCCATGTAGTGTTGACTCTGGAACTCTACAGACAATTCAATGGGATTCCAGTCAGCCACAGCTCAAGGAACCCCTAGAACCTATTGAGGAACCCAAGGCTTTCACAAAGTCCTGGTTGAGAATGGCTGGTATAGGTAGTGACCATGGAACACTGGAGGACATCACTGTCTTTCTTCTCCTAACTCAGGGTCAGGGGGTAACTCAGTGCAATAGTATAGGTCAGCCTTTCTCAACATTCTTACCTTACAGGAACTCTTTAAATAATTTCAAGGTTTTGGGGGAACCCCTGCTAAAACCAATTTGAGGGTCATTGGAAAAAATGCCCCTTACGTTGGTGGTCAGTGGGGAAGAATTCCCCCCCCCCCTTATAGATAGCTAAAAAGATTATTGGTGTCATGCCATTGTAGTGTTGACTCTGGAATTCTGAAGACAATTCAATGGGATTCCAGTCAGCCACAGCTCAAGGAACCCCTAGCAACCTATTGAGGAACCCAAGGCTTTCACAAAGTTGTGGTTGAGAATGGCTGGTATAGGTAGTGACCATAGAACACTGGAGGACATCACTGTGTTTCTTCTTCTCCTAACACAGAGTCTCCTTTTATAACTCAGACGTCTTCTTTATAAGCTCCTCCCACTCTCATCTCCAGATCTCCTCTGGGGCTGCACCAGTTTAAGGAACTCCCCACTCTAAACCATTCGACTGCTTGCCATTTTCAAGCTGTTTCTTCAAGGAACCCCTAGCAACCTACTGAGGAACCCAAGGCTTTCACAAAGCTCTGGTTTAGAATGGCTGGTATAGGTAGTGACCATGGAACACTGGAGGACATCACTGTGTGTCTTCTTCTCCTAACTCAGAGTCTCCTTTTATAACTCAGATGTCTTCTTTATAAGCTCCTCCCACTCTCATCTCCAGATCTTCTCTGGGTCTGCACCAGTTTAAGGAACTCCCCACTCTAAACCATTCAACTGCTTGCCATTTTCAAGCTGTTCCTTCAAGGAACCCCTAGCAACCTATTAAGGAACCCAAGGCTTTCACAAAGCCCTGGTTGAGAATGGCTGGTATAGGTAGTGACCATAGAACACTAGAGGACATCACTGTGTTTCTTCTTTTCCTAACTCTCAGTCTCCTTTTATAACTCAGATGTCTTCTTTATAAGCTCCTCCCACTCTCATCTCCAGATCTTCTCTGGGGCTGCACCAGTTTAAGGAACTCCCCACTCTAAACCATTCAACTGCTTGCCATTTTCAAGCTGTTCCTTCAAGGAACCCCTAGCAACCTATTAAGGAACCCAAGGCTTTCACAAAGCCCTGGTTGAGAATGGCTGGTATAGGTAGTGACCATAGAACACTAGAGGACATCACTGTGTTTCTTCTTTTCCTAACTCAGTCTCCTTTTATAACTCAGATGTCTTCTTTATAAGCTCCTCCCACTCTCATCTCCAGATATTCTCTGGGGCTGCACCAGTTTAAGGAACTCCCCACTCTTGCCATTTTCAAGCTGTTCCTTTAAGAACACGCCCTAGTTTTGAGTTACAAAATATATCAAGCACATTTATTGCAAAGATATTTTATCATACTTCTTCTATGTTTAGAAGATATTTCAGACACTTTCCCTATGGGCTTAGAACATATTCCAGAAGCAGAGCCAGATGGGAGCCTCTGCAGGGAGGATGAGCTCATCAGCCAGAAGGTTTCTATATGATAACACTCGAGAACGTGCTGAAGTCATCAATCTTACTATGTCTCCGGGGTTCAGCATTAGCTGGTTGCATTACAAATGAGAAGGAACTGAGGTTGTTTCATTTCTATTCTAAAGCTGGCCATACATGTGGCAATTTTTTTTTCGTCGATTTCAACAGCAACCAGTCTCCAGAAATGAAGCAATCTACCACCAATGACTGGGGCAACCACCCAGATTTGGTCAGTTGTGAAGACAAAAAACTGACCAGCTTCAAAACAGTTCATCAGATGATTGAATTGAGTTGGGTTTGATCTGGGGAAAAACTACGCAAGTTCATGGAAAGTCATCTGATTTTTTTCACTGCCTTAGAGCGGGGAAAATTTAATTATATACCTTTCCAGTTTATTGAAACCATCATTTCATCCAATTTTGTAAAATGTCTGGCTACACATATACCCAACCTCTGAAAGCGAAGTCTGAACCTAATTTTCCAGTTGTATTATGATGACCATGCTTCTACTGATCTATCATCTGCTGTACTGGTACCACCAGTACTAGAAAAAAGAATACAAATTTGAAAACATAATCTGAATGAAAAACTGAAATTTTTTTGGTATTGGATACACTGGTCCCACCACCAGCAATGAAAAGAGTAAAAAAAAAAAATCTAAAGAGGTTCCTCCATCCACGCTTAGGAGGCACTTGGATGAATTTCCTGCTGCAGCCATTGTATTTATCCCAACAACTGGATAAATACAATTGGATGCAGAACCTATTTGGCTGCCAACATCCACCCGACCCAGTTGATTTTTTTTAATCGAGGGATTTCGGGCAGAAGGCAGCCAGTGGAGCAACCCAATGATCAAATTTTGTCTGGTTCCTCAGAAAAACTGGTTTTAATTTGAGTCCTCAAGAACCGGCTTAAGTTTGTAATCGAGGGAGCCTTAATAGGTTGCTAGGGGTTCCTTGAAGAAGCAGCTTGAAAATGGCAAGCAGTTGAATGGTTTAGAGTGGGGAGTTCCTTAAACTGGTGCAGCCCCAGAGAAGATCTGGAGATGAGAGTGGGAGGAGCTTATAAAGAAGACGTCTGAGTTATAAAAGAAGACTCTGAGTTAGGAGAAGAAGAAACACAGTGATGGCTCCTTTGGTTTAAGAGGAGGTGGACCACAGAGAGAGTTTTTGTGCAGCATGTCTACATTTTTCCCCAGCACTTATCACTTTGGTGCAGGGGCGGACTGACAACTCATGGGGCCCCTGGGCAATAGGGGATCGTGGGGCCCCTGTGTCCTTGCCCAAACTCAAAAAAGCCTATGAAAAAGGTACCAGGGGCATCTCATGGGGCAACCTAGTGACCCCGGGCCCTCGGGCAGTGCCCGAGTTTCCAAATGGTCAGTCCTACCCTGCTTTGTTCTGAACTGAGCCCACATAGACCTCAATAATATTTGCTGTGTCCTTGCCTTGAGCCTATGCTGATCAACACAGAGCCACATTGCTTAACCCCCTTCCTTCCCAGTCCCGGTGTCCCTTTAACTGGGTCTTTACACCTGGGGCACGGGAAGGACTTTCCAATCACGTGACCACTGTGATTGGCTGTCAAAAGTGGTTGCATGATCAAGAGCCAGTCTGCCAGCTCCCAATCATTACTAGAGACTAGAGTCTATCAATGACAGCTCAGTCAATGTGCTAGTAGCGCGCAGTGAGCACACTCTAAGCGCCAAAACCCCCGACCATCAATGAGGTGTGTGGGCGTTAAAACCCACCCTGTTTGCCGCCACACAAATGTGTTACGTGGGCGGCAAGAGATTAAAGCTGAAGGCAATTTTTACAGCTTGAACCAATGTAAATATGAGCCATACTTGTGGGATTGGTCCAATGTAGCCATGTAAAAATTGCTATGCCTACACTTCAGTTTCAACAGACTAGGTGCAAAAGAGCGCAGAAAAGGTCCGAACGGACTATCCCTTGAGGAAGTTCTGTTTATGTCACCTAAATTTTTGCTTTCTCCACCTGTAGGTGATGAAGGAATGGGCGGAAGCTGATAACCAGGCCAAAAAACTTACCCAAATCTGACCGGCAGGCGCTGAACGAGGTACATAGCTAGTGACTCATCCTAAGAACATGTATTTTTCTGACTCAGGGGGATGACAAATGGAAAAATAATTTTCTGGCATTCATTTGTGCTCGGGGAGTGTGGGCGAGAGCCTCGTGGGGGTCTGTGAGATTTGAAAGACATCAAAGCCTAAGACTAATTTATGTTTCTGAGGAAAAACCGAAATTAAACATAGGGAGATGATAAGACTTGGTGGCTGCTGCGAATGGAGGAGGTTTTTTTTTTGCGGCGTGGGACTAAAAGTCATGAAGGCGTTGACAATTAAAGCGACATGTCGTTGGTTGTGCCCTTGAATTTTGCACAGATGTCTGTTATGATGGATGGAGGTTTGAAAGACCATAATAAAGGGTATTTATAGGTCCTGCAATCAAAAATTTAAATTCACAAAACCCATTCACCTGAAGTGCCCAACATTGCCTTAGTTGCCTGTACTGTACCCATACATCTCGCCCTCTCTGGCCTTTATGCCAAGATCCAAACCATTGGCAGTAGAGCAACAGCTTGTCCTACTTTCCTAGTCATTGTTTGCTGAGACCTATTCCCACAATGCTGCATCTGGTTTCATTGTTTGCTGAGACCTATTCCCACAATGCTGAATCTGGTTTCGATGGGTGATGTCACCACCAAAACTGTGTAGGTATTGCCCGGTTATGCCTGAAACATACCCGGTCAATGGTGGCACATCTTCCACCATGGCTATGATATGCCACTTGATTTACATGGTCACCTGGCTTTCCAGTACAATATTGCCATGTCCTCATTGCCATCACCTGACACCGGTTTTTGTACTGTACACATACATCTCGCACTCTCTGGTCTTTATGCCAAGATCCAAACCATTGGCAGTAGAGCAACAGCTTGTCCTACTTTCCTAGTCATTGTTTCCTGAGACGTATTCCCACAACGCTGCATCTGGTTTCGATGGGTGATGTCACCCTCTCTGGTCATGGTCACCTTGCTTTCGAGTACAATATTGCCATGTCCTCATTGCCATCACCTGACACCGGTTTTGTACTGTATACATACATCTCACCCTCTCTGGTCTTTACGCCAAGATCCAAACCATTCAAAGTAGTCACCAGCTTGTCCTACTTTCCTAGTCATTGTTTCTATGTGTACCATCTTGGACTGGAAAAATAGACTCCCTCAAAATCTCCAGCTGCAGCTTGCCTTGAGTGAACATGGCATCTGATATTGATTATGTGACAACTAGGCTTGGCAGTCAACTGGGATTTGAAGAGGAAGCACAAGACAGTTGGTCTAGAGGGCAAAAAGTATAAATTCAGCCTTGATGGTGGGCCCATTGGTGCTGGAAATGAACGGTGGGTATCTCATCACCCATGGGCAACCATGAGAGATATGTTGTTTACTTCTCATTGTTCAATAAAGGAACATTAGATGGACACCTGACCATCCCACCTACATGAGCTTTTTGGACATCTTATTTCAAAACCATGACCATTAATACAAAGTTGGCCTTCTCTTTGCCACCATGCCCATGGCATGCCACTGGTTTTAGACGGTCCCTTTGCCTTCTGGTACAATATGGCCATGTCCTCATTACTGTCATCCGACACAACATTTGTACTGTATATGTACATTACACCCTCTCTGTTCTTTACACCCAGAACCAAACTATTGGCAGAATAGAATGACACCTTGTCCTACTCTTCAAGTCATTGTTTCTAGAGATCAGAAAAATAGTCTCCTTCAAAAATCAACATCTCCAGCTTGTCATGTGTGGACATGGCATCTGATCTTGATTATGTGACAGCAAGGTTAGGCAGGCTTGGGGTTGGAAGTCGCAGCACAAGACAATTGGTTTAGAAGGAAAAAAGTATAAATCTGGAATTGATGGTGTGCCCACTGGTGCTGCAAACAAATGGTGAGTATCTCAACACCCACGGGCACCCATGATGAATGTGTCTTTCTATGGTAATTGATCAATTAAAGAACACTAGATGGACACTTGGCCATCACATCTATCACTAGATGGACACCTGGCCATCACATCTATCACTATATGGACACCTGGCCATCACATCTATCACTAGATGGACACATGGCCATCACATCTATCACTAGATGGACACCTGGCCATCACATCTATCACTAGATGGACACCTGGCCATCACATCTATCACTAGATGGACACCTGGCCATCACATCTATCACTAGATGGACACCTGGCCATCACATCTATCACTAGATGGACACCTGGCCATCACATCTATAAGAGCTTGTGGGACATCCTATTCGAAAACCAAACATAAGGCGTTGGCCTTCATTTGTGGCTATACCATGGCATCCTCCACTCTTCTAGGAAGGCTTCTGAGAAGACCTTCCTCACAATTGACATTCCAGTTCATTACGGCTGAGGTTGGGGCTCTGTGCAAGCCACTCATGTTCCTCCACACCAAACTGGTCAAACCATGTCTTCATGGAGCGGTCTATGTACACAGGGGCACAGTCGTGGTGGAACAGAAAGGGGTCTTCACCAAACCATGAGGCTGGAAGAGCACATTTGTCTATGACCCCGGTACCCAACCTTTGGAACATTCTGTGCGGCCCTTGGGGCCCTTGCAGACACTAATCTGTGTTTCCCTATTACCCGGTTGTAACACTGATTTCTAGCAGTCTCATGTAATAAAATGTAAAAGCTGAAAAATGTTTATTTTTGAATATCAAGAATTTCTGAATCGTGAGCTCCAATACCCCAGAGTCCACCCGGCCATTAAGCCAAAAAAAAAACCAAAAGAATTCTGCACGAGGAGCAGATGGGCAAGTCATTAATTTTCGAAATCCCTAAAGTAATAGCTTTTCGGTTCCTTTAGGCCTCTCTCGGAGGGTCGTATTACCGGTGACTACAACAGATAACATTTCAGGGAGAGGGAGAGAAAGGAGATATTGTGAAACCCAAGCCGGCTGATAATTCCTCGTCATAAAAACAAAATGTGGAACCTGACAGCTTGACAGATAGAGAGCTTGTGTAACCAAGTATACGGTTACGCGGCAAAAGTCGATGTCATACTGCGCCATATGACCGCCAGCTGCGGCTAACAAGGTAACGTCCTCCGGGGTCCACTTACCCGGTGGAAAAAAAAAGCCGCGGAAACGCGGCCAATAATAGGTTCCTCCGGATGCGTTAGGGCTTGTTCACACCAGGTGCGGTGCGGGAACGTGCGCAAGATCGCGCGTCCTCCCGCGCTGCGCAAAAACGTGCTGCTTCTTGCAGGTGTCCAGGGGCGGACTGACCATTTGAGCACTTGGGCACTGCCCGAGGGCCCGGGGTCAGTAGGGGGCCCCATGAGATGCCCCTGGTACCTTTCATAGGCTTTTTTGGGTGTGGTTTGAGTGAGCGGACTGACCATTCGAGCACTCGGCACTGCCCAAGGGCCCGGGGTCAGTAGGGGCCCCATGAGATGCCCCTGGTACATTTCATAGGCTTTTTTTGGGTGTGGTTTGAGTGAGCGGACTGACCATTCGAGCACTCGGCACTGCCCGAGGGCCCGGGGTCAGTAGGGGCCCCATGAGATGCCCCTGGTACCTTCCACAGGCTTTTTGGGGTGTGGTTTGAGTGAGCGGACTGACCATTCGAGTACTCGGGCACAGCTCAAGGGTCCGGGGTCAGTAGGGGCCCCATGAGATGCCCCTGGTACCTTCCATAGGCTTTTTTGGGTGTGGTTTGAGTTTGGGCAAGGACACAGGGGCCCCATGATCCCCTATTGCCCGGGGGCCCCATGAGTTGTCAGTCCGCCCCTGCAAGTGTCATTGATTATTATGGTCAGTTCACTCCATAAAGGCGCAACCAGGTGCGGGCGCTTTTCCATGCGGTGCGTGTAGGGCAGTCCTCTCGTTTCATTGGGTTGCGCTAGGTGCGAGAAGTCTTTGAGGCTCCGTTCACAGCTAGGCGTTTTGTATCGCAAGCAGAAATGCCGCGATTCTGACCGCGATCCCAAAACGCTCTGCGCAACTGACTGCCATTCGATTTCAATGGCACCTAAGAAGGGTGCGACTCTGCCGCAATCGTTGCACGATAAACTGCGGCAAACAGCATTGCACGAAGCTTGTCGCACAAAGGAAGCTCCTGCTCCTTATTGAGCGTCAATTTGCGACAGAATCGCACCCGCGTTTAGGTGCCATTGAAATTGAATGACATCTGAACAAGCGTGGTGCGATTTTGTCAGTTTTGCAGTGCCTTTTGGGATCGTGGGCAGAATCGCGGGATTTCTGCCCGCGATCCCAAAACGTTCGGCGAAACTGACAAAATCGCACCACACTTGTTCAGGTGTCATTCAATTTCAATGGCACCTAAGCGCGGGTGCGATTCTGGCGCAGATTGTTTGTCACTCGATAAGGAGCAAGAGCTTCCTTTGGGCGACAAGCTTCGCGCAATGCGGTTTATCGCGCGAAGATCACGGCAGAGTCGCACCCTCGTTTAGGTGTCATTGAAATTGAATGGCGCCTGAACATGCGTGGTGCGATTTTGTCAGTCTCGCCTATCGTTTTGGGATCGCGGGCAGAAATCCTGCGATTCTGCCTACAATCCCAAAAGGCACTGCAAAAAACTGACAAAATCGCACCACGCTTGTTCAGGCGCCATTCAATTTCAATGACACCTAAACGAGTGTGCGACTCTGCCGTGATCGTCTCGTGAGAAATTGCGACAAAACGCATTGCGCAAAGCTTGTCGCCCAAAGGAAGCTCCTGCTCCTTATTGAGCGACAAACTTTGTGCGCTGCGGCTTGCCGCACAATTTGCAACAGTCGCACCCTTGTTTAGGTGTCATTGAAAACGAACGACACGCCTGTTCAGGCGCCATTCATTTTCAATGACACCTAAACGCGGGTGCGATTCTGTCGCAAATTGTTTGTTGCTCGATTAGGAGCAGGACCTTCCTTTGGGCGACAAGCTTCACGCAGTGCGGTTTGCCGCAGTTTAACGTGCAACAATCACGGCAGAGTCGCACCCTCGTTTAGGTGCCATTGAAATTGAATGGCGCCTGAACAAGCGTGGTGCGATTTTGTCAGTTTTGCAAAGCGTTTTGGGATCGCGGACAAAATCGCGGCAATTCTGCCCGCGATACAAGAACGTCTAGATATGAACGGAGCCTCTTTACCAAAAGATGCCGTGCAGTTTGGCGCGCGCAAAAATGTGCATGTTTGCTGATGCACGGGTTGCGATTGATCATTAACTGCATGTCGCACGCCTGTTAAATGGCAGCACGTTCCTGGGCGTGTCTGAAAAGCATGGATTCCCAACACGCAGTAGTGTGAACTTGGCCTTAACGGCGCCCCCAAATGCAAGCACGTTCGCGGCGCGCCGAAATGCATAGTACCGCAATACCATGGATATTGGCGCGGCGCCTCTTTTGCACATTGGGCGCTCCATTGAATTTAACAGGCCACTCTAAATTGGCGACATGCGCAAACGCACCGGCGCACCACCTGCTGTGAACAAGCCCTTAAAGGAAACCTGCCATGAAAAGGGCCGCCGTTGGTGACCACCTTGTGGAAGATCTTGTTGCCGTGCTGTCATGCCGGTCCTCTGGCTTCAGTATTTTCCCAAAACCCAGAACAAGCATGTAGCAAGTGAACTCAGAATTCCTGATTTGTACACTGGGTCTGGATGAGACTTTCATGTCCGCCTTAAAAAAAATGCTTTTTTTCCAAAGATGCTTTGGAAAACAATGGAGCTCAGTTAGTTTTGGGACATGGTCCTTTAGCAACCAAGGTGGCCAAAGTGCGCCCCCTATGCCCATGAGCTGTGAACTACTGTGTCAGCATAGGCATCAGGTCTCCTGCCCTACTTGCGCCCCTCTTTTCATGAAGCACCCAAGGCAGCTGCCTCTTCTGCCTACCCCACCCCCCTCCCCAGGCCTGGCCCGGCCCTAGGCTCAGCATGGTCTTCATTTAACCATTTTGTTGTCCTTTCAGCACTTCCAGTCCATCCTGCAGACCCTGGAGAGCCAGATATCTGCCCAGCGCCAGCGACTGGTGGAGACCCATTTGGGTCGGGTGGTCGCCGCTCTCAATGACAACCGCAGGGCCGCGCTGGAGTTCTGTGTGTGTGTATATATATACATACACATAAAATAGATAAAAAAAAAAAAATATATTCAATACGGCCAAAATTGTAGCAATTCAAATATATGTGAATATATTTGGGAAGAATATTTTACTACATGTTGACGTGTGTTTTTTATATATTACAAAATATATGAAAATATTTTTTAAAAATATATTTAAGTATATTCTTCAGATTTTTTTTACCTATCAAAAAGTGATTTTAATATATATTTTACATAAATTTGTAAATGCGTTCCAAAACTAGATTTGTAATTTTTAAAGACATACAGTATATTTCAAATGTATTTTTTAAAAATATTTTTCAGATATTCTGTGTGTTATAAAAAAAATATGTAAATTGTGTTTGTTTTTTATATATATATATATATATAATTATTATTATAAAATATTTATAAAGCGCCAATAGTTCGCTCAGCGCTGTACATTACAAAGGGGGACAGAACATGTGACAGAACAATACCAATACAATGCAAAACATGAGGGGATCGTATGTATGTTTATGTATATATGTGTATGTATGTATATATATGTATAAATATATATATATATATATATATATATTGTGTGTGTGTGTGTGTGTGTGTATGTATATATATATATATATATATATATATATAATATATATATATATATATATATATATATACACACACATAGATAGATTTATTGAAATATATTGAATACGGCCAAAATTGTAGCATTTCAAATATATGTCAATATATTTGAGAAGAATATTTTACTGCATGTTGACGTGTTTTTTATATATTACAAAATATATGAACAATATTTTTAAAAATATATATTTTTTAAAATATATTTCTGATTTTTTTTTTTTACCCTATCAAAAAATTATTTTAACATATATTTTTTACATAAATTTGTAATTGCATTCCAAAACTGTAGATCTGTCATTTTAAAAAGACATACAGTATATTTGAAATGTATTTCTAAAAATATTTTTCATTTAGTTTGTAATAAAAACGCATTTCAACATACAGTGTATATATGTATGTGTGTTTATTATGTGTATATGTATATGTATGTGTGTGTATGTATATGTTGTGTGTGTGTGTATATATATATGTATGTTGTGTTTGTGTGGTGTGTGTGTGTGTGTATGTATGTTTTTTATATGTTGTGTGTATATATGTTGTGTGTGTGTATATATGTATGTTGTGTGTGTATATATATATATGTGTGTGTGTGTGTGTATATATATATGTGTTGTATATATTTATTGTGTGTGTGTGTGTGTATATATATATATGTGTGGTGTGTTAAAGGGTGTGTGTATATATATATATGTGTGTGTGTGTTTAGTATATTGGTTATATATATATATATGTGTGTGTGATATATATATATATATATGTGTGTGTGTATATATATGTGTGTGTATATTATATATGTGTGTGTGTGTATATATATATTTGTTGTTGTAATGTGTGTGTATATATATGTATGTTGTGTGTGTGTGTGTATATATATATAAATATATGTGTGTGTGTATATATATAATGTGTGTATAAATATATATATATATTAATTTTTTTTTTTAAATATATTGAATATGGCCAAAATTGTAGCATTTCAAATATATTTTTCATCCATGTGGGCTGCATCTGTCCCACCAGGGAACTATCCCGCCATGTAATAATCACCTTTACCCAGAAGATATTTTTTTCCATTTGGGGAGCCGCACTGCAGGTAACCTTCTGCACGGCGGACTATGACCCCCTATATACTGACCTCCTTCTTGTTTTGTCTGAACAGCCAGAGCGAGTCCTTCTGGCTCTGAAGAGGTACATACACGCCGAGCAGCGAGACCAGCGCCATACCGTCCGCCATTACCAGCACGTGAGCAGCGCTGAACCCGACCGAGCCGAGACCATCCAGTTCCAGGTAAGTAAGACCCTTATAGATGGATTGGAAATTCTGTCCGGACGGTTTTGTGATCCAGGCAGCACAGCCAAGGTTCCCTGACCTGTGCAGCACTTCTGCAGATGATAGAGTTTGGTCCAGGACACGCCCCCCAACCTGCTTATTGGACAATGAAGGAGCGGAACTGATGAAGTCATTCCTCTGCTCGCTCTGGTCTCTCCTCCTGCCAGCAGAGGGGGATGTAGGGGATTCTGATTGGCTCTAGTGCTGCCCTGTCCTCTTCCAGTAGGAGTGCTGCTGTGCAGGAGGTCACAGGAAGCCAATAGAAAGACAAACTTGGGTACTTACATTTGCTATATTGAATCCGTGTCTTTAGAAAGCGACCTGAAGTTCAGTTGTTTTAGTGTCTCATAAAATGTCAAATCACTACACAATAATACAGATACTGATGATTGATGGTGGGAACCCCTCATTATGGGCACAGCGGGTGTACAGACCCGGGAACTCAGCACAGGATGGTGGGAACCCCTCATAATGGGCACAGAGGGTGTACAGACCCGGGAACTCAGCACAGGGATGGTGGGAACCCCTCATTATGGGCACAGAGGGTGTACAGACCCGGGAACTCAGCACAGGGATGGTGGGAACCCCTCATAATGGGCACAGAGGGTGTACAGACCCGGGAACTCAGCACAGGGATGGTGGGAACCCCTCATAATGGGCACAGCGGGTGTACAGACCCGGGAACTCAGCACAGAGATGGTGGGAACCCCTCATAATGGGCACAGCGGGTGTACAGACCCGGGAACTCAGCACAGGGATGGTGGGAACCCCTCATAATGGGCACTGCGGGCGTACAGACCCGGGAACTCAGCACAGGGATGGTGGGATCCCCTCATAATGGGCACAGCGGGCGTACAGACCCGGGAACTCAGCACAGGGATGGTGGGAACCCCTCATAATGGGCACAGCGGGTGTACAGACCCGGGAACTCAGCCCGGGAACAGGGATGGTGGGAACCCCTCATAATGGGCACAGCGGGTGTACAGACCCGGGAACTCAGTACAGGGATGGTGGGATCCCCTCATAATGGGCACCGCATGTATAAGCTGCACAAGTAAGTACATTTCTGGACAGTGATATTAAGCGGCACTCCCTCTTGCTCTCTCCGGTTCTCTCAGGTTCTCACCCACCTTCGTGTCATTGAAGAACGGGTCAACCAGTCCCTGTCTCTCTTGTACCGGAACCCCCAACTGTCCCCCGAACTCCGCAACCAGATCGGTGAGTATTATGCCTCCTGTTGGTGTGAATCTTCTCATTGGTTACCCCGGGTCACGGAGTGCCGGCTCTCTTGCAGAAACCTGGCTGCATACAGAGTGGGTTGGAGCCGGAGACCTTCTTAGCTCCACCCAGAAGAAACTGAGCGAAGACAGCGACTACCCCGAGATCAGAGTGCCGCCCCAGAGCTCTGCTGAGACGTCCCAAGGAGAAGGTAAAAGGACCACCAGAGAGCCAGGACCCAACCCAACCTGTAGAGCATACCTGGCAGACCCCCCACCCCACCCCCACCCCCCCCACCCCAAATGACTCTACCGGATCTTAACCCATGTCAGAACTTCTATACCCTGTTATAGCCAGATCCAGCAGGATTTTCAGGGTGCTTCTGGGTGGGATAGTGACCACTTTTTTAGTCTGGGAGGGTCAGAAGAACCATTCAGGATATAAAATTATACACGGCTCCAAAAAAATTAAAGGAAGACTTTGTAATCCGAGTCGGGGTGTCTGTGAATTCAGTCCTCTGTAGGTCGATCATTTCCATCAAACGATGGGGCGTCCTTATGTTCCTCACCCATCCCCCCCATCTAGATAGATGATAGATAGATAGGAATGAGCCCGCACTTTGACACCCATATGTATACACAGTATATTGATGAATTATTTGATGCTCAGCACTGGGTACTTCTACATCTGTGATACGTATCTTTTTCATCTGACGTGAGAAGCTTGAGGCTCCCGTTTTCCTAATGTTTACCCGGCTAATCTTAACTGCTCTGATGAACAAAACCAACTTGCTTTTAGAAGTCAGCAGCTCAAGCTAACGTTTATAAACAGAGCTGAGCAAGTCAGAAGAATGACTCCTCCCCCTCCCCTCCCCTCCCCCTTCAGCCTCCTCCCCAAACCTCCTTCAGCCCTCCCCCTCTCTGCCTCCTCCCTCTCCCCACCTCCTTCCGTCTCCTCCCCCCGCTCTCTCTGCCTTCCTCCCCCCCTCTCCCTCCTCCTTCTGCCTCCTCCTCCCCCCTCCTCCTCCCTTCCTCCCCACCCCCTCCTTCCCTTCCTCCCCTCCTCCTTCTGCCTCCTCCCTCCCCCCCCCTCCCCTCCTCCTTCTGCCTCCTCCCCCCCTCCTGCCTCCTTCCCTCCTCTTCTGCTCCTCCCCCTCCTCCTCCTCCCCCTCCCCTCTCATCCTTCTGCTCCTCCCCCCCCCTCCTCCCTTCCCCTCCCTCCTCCTTTACCCCCTCCTTCCCCTTCTACCCCTCTGCCTCCCCTCCCCCCCCCCCTCCCCCCCCCCTCTCCCCCCCCCCTCCTCCTTCCCCTTCCCCTCCCCATCCTTCCCCTCCTCCTTTGCCTCCTCTCCGTCCCCGCCCCTCCTCCCCCCTCCTTCCGCCTCCCCTCCTCCTTCCCCTCCTTCCGCCTCCCCTCCTTCCTTCTGCCCTTCCTCTCCCCTCCTCCCACCTCCTTCCCCCCCCTCCCTCTGCCTCCTTCCGCCTCCTCCTCCTTCCTCCCCCCCCCCCTCCTTCCGACTCCTCCCCCTCCCCAGCTCCATAGAGAGTTTCAATTAGAAAGAGACAGTCCAAAGGCGAACATTCTCTGCTTTTTTTTTCAGAAAACCTTTCATGTGATGCCAGTGTGATGTGCGAACCCTTTATACTGTATATCACTTAAAAATGTACCCAAAGCCATTAACCCTTCCCGGAGTTTTGTAAAGTGATGCACACCCTCTTGTTACCCCCCCCCCCCCTGCTCTCTGTGATTGGTTGGAGGGGGCGATACTTTATAGAGGCTGAACTTCAGATTTTCTCTCTGCCGCTCTTCTCCTGCTGTTCTGCTTTGTTCTCCCTGCTGACTCATCTCTCTCTCTCTCTTCCTCGCTCACTCGCTGTCTCTCTCCCCCTCCTCCTGTCTTGCTTTTCTTTTGCCTTTTCGGACCCTTCAACAGACTCCCAGCAGATTGAAAGAAAAGGTCAGTAAACGTTCGATCGCGGTCCCCCATGAAGACGCTCTTCTGCAAATCCCCGATTCATTTACCCGATCAGCGTCCAATCACGAATTGCTTGTTTCATTGAACTGTTGGAGGCCGATTGGCTCCTTCTGCCATAAAGTGCGCGGCTGAGTGTTCCCACATTCGGTTGAAACACGCAAATCAGAACCGACCGCTGTGATTCGTGGCTGTGAGGTTTCCATTGTCTGAGTCCGAGAAAAGTGTCTGCGTTGCCTATAGTAACCAATGTGATTGCAGTTGGGTTTTGTTTTTTGTTTTTTAAAGGGCCACTCCACTCAATTTAAAGGGCCAGTCCACCCAGAATTGATATCTTGGCGTTTGCGCTCCTCCTTATGGTTTTGTTAAAGGGCCACCCCACCCAGAATTGATATCTTGGAGTTTAACAACACTTAAGGAGAAGTACAAACATCAAGATATCAATTCTGGGTGGAGTGGCCCTTTAACAAACCGTAAGGAGGAGTATAAATGCCAAGATATCGATTGTGGGTGGAGTGGCCCTTTAACAAACCATAAGAAGGCGTGCAAAGGGCCACTTCAACCACAATTGATATCTTGGAGTTTGCACTCCTCCTTATGGTTTGTTAAAGGGCCACTCCACCCACAATTTGTTAGCGATTGTATTCCTCCTTTTGGTTTGTTAAAGGGCCACACTCCACCCAGAATTGATATCTTGGTGTTTAACAAACCATAAGGAGGCGTACAAAGGGCCACTCCACCCACAATCGATATCTTCGCGTTTTTTTATACTCCTCCTTATGGTTTGTTAAAGGGCCTGTCCACCCACAATTTATATGTTAGCGATTGAATTCCTCCTTTTTGGTTTGTTAAAGGGCCACTCCACCCAGAATCATCTTGGCATTTGCAATCCTCATAGTTTGTTAAAAGGGCCACTCCACCCACAATCGTTATCTTGGCGTTTGTACTCCTCCTTATGGTGTGTTAAAGGGCCACTCCACCCAATATTGATATCTTGGTCTTTGTGCTCCTGTTTAAGTTATGTCAATAGGCCAATCCACACAAAACTGATATTTTTGATGTTTGTTCGCCAGTTACAACAGAGAGTTGTATGTTCAGCTGCTATTACACACAAGTCGGGGTGAATGGTAGGGCCCATTGACACTTGGCAACGTCCGGTGAGAACCACCATACACGACAATGCTCCTGCACTAAGGGTCATTGTGAATGGCTCCCCAAAGCATTGCACAGCAGAGACCAACACAAAGTGCAGTACAGCGCACCAGAAGGCATTGCAGTGCGCTTCATTGTTAAAAAAAAAGGGTCATACTCATTACGGCGCGCCACAAGGGAACGCCTTTGTGTGAATGGGCCCCTACAAATTTACCGGCTGACCCGTATCCGCCTGCCGCCTGATTAGTCTGTCGTTTTGTACTTTTTCTGCAGGATCCGCCGTCTGGGACTTGTACTCCGACTTCCCCCCCAGCGAGCGAACCCTGACCTTCCCCAGCCAGAAGGTGAGATAAGAGGGCTTATTTTCTACAACAGCGAGCCCCCCGTCCCATCCAATCAGACGTCGCCTTTCATCGGCGCATCCGATTGGGTGTTATGGGGTTGTGACTTACTCATCGCCATATTAAAACCGCACCGTCTGTATCTGTTCTCAGGATAACGCTTCAGTAAAGCAAGTCCATTACCAGTCCGAGGACATCCAGCGCGATGAACTGGTAAGAGACTTCCACTCCTGCCCCCCGATGTCCATTTTCTGTATTACACCGACTTATCAAAAACAGCGGTATAGTCATGTGACATATTGTATGAAATCTGCATCATTCATACACTAAATAATAATAACAATATGCTAAACCAAAAAATAAAAGGAAATTTATTAAAACAATAAAATTAATTTTATTATTATTTATTATTATTACTTAACCTTTTAGTAGTCAAATAATAATTATTAAAAAAAAAAAAAAGGGATATTTATTTTTAAAAAGTAATATGGCTTTATTAAAAGTTTAGCAAGAATATGATTATTTATTATTATTATTATTTTAAAGCCATTTTAACTTTTTTAATAATAAATATCCCTTTAAAAATTTTTTAGTTAAAATTTTTTTTAATATGACTATTAAAAGTTTTTAGCAAGAATATTATTATTATTATTATTAGTCATAAATAATGTTAACTAAAAAATAAAGGGATAATTTATTTATGTCTTTTAAAAAGTAAAATGGCTTTAATTAAAATAATAAAATATAATAATATATTATTTGCTAAAAAATTTAAAAATAGTCATAAAAAAAAAAATTTTAACTAAAAAAAAAAAAGGGATATTTATTTAAAAAGTAAAATGGCTTTATAATAATAATAATTCTTGCTAAACTTTTAATAGTCCTAAATAATGATACGATAATTAAAAAAATAAAGGAATATTTTTTTTTTTAAAAATTTCTTTATTAATAATAAAAATAATAATACAGTTATTTTTTATTTTTTTATTTTTTTTTTTTTTTTTTTTTTTTTTCTTTTTTTTAATCTGGTTTTTAAAATCAAAAAATAGTAGAAAATTATTACATATATTATATTTGGTTTTTTTTTTTAAAGGATGTAATTACTAAAACCTTTTATTTAATGAAAATAATTTTCAGAGAAAAAAAAGAATATTTATGTATACAGTATATCTTAATTCTAAGTATAATTTTTCTTTATGTATAAAAAAAAAAAATAGATAGCTATATTTCAAATAACAATAAAACTTAATAATAGTCATAATAATGACATTTATTACATTGATTGCTCTAGTGCCGTAGCTCCTAACTGTCCCTGATTTGGAACAAAATCCCTCTATCCATCATTTTGGTCTGATCTGTATACTTCTATATAGAAATGCACGATTTATCTTTTGAAAAAGGGTTTCACAGTGCTCCACCATTTATCCAGTTTTAAATTCTGCATGGGTAAATTTCAAAAACCAGTAAAAAGGGAAGGAAGGAATAGTATTGGTTAAAGAAAAAATAAGAACTTGTGGGTTTAACTAATCATTTATTTTTGTATAATTCCCCTTTAAAAAGGCGTGGTGGTGGTAGTGGGTGTGGTAGTAGTAGTGGGGGTGTTCTATACCTACATATTTTTGCTGATAGGTGTCCCTCATTCCTATAAGTTACGAAAAAAAAGTTGAGAGGTATGTAGTTCTATAATAAAAATAAATAAAAAAAAAATTATATATATATATATATATATATATATATATATATATATACACACACAATAAAAATTAATTGGTCATGGGACTGTACATGAGGCAGATCACAAACAAAGCATAACAAGATAGGTACACATAGTAACAAATTTTATTCAATAATTCGGCACACAATATAAACATTTTATACATAATTGCAGATTGCATTTCACAATCGATACAATAAAATTCCAAATAAAAAAAGGGAGGGATACTGAAACTGATTCATGATGTACCAAGATACAAATCATATCAACATAAATACATAAATCATCATAATTAAAATAAAAAAAAATTGTGTGACAAATTTAATTGCATCTCAAAGCTCGACGCGTTTCGTGGATCACTGTCCACTTCCTCAGGAGCAGATGTAAGATAGATGTCTCTAAAAATGAATAAATAGAATAAAAAAAGAAAAAATATTGATATTAAGGATGGATAATTATTAGTGACACTGATTATGATCAGATTTACTATTGTCTGCAGTTATCGGTAAAGAGCAATAATGTGTTTTAGGGTTTTTTTTTTTTTTACTATTACAAATAAAAAAATAAAAAAATTCATTAATATGTTTTGAAAAAAAAAAAAAAAAGAAAAACAATTGTATGACATATAAATTTCATTGCATCTTAAAAATTTGACGCGTTTCGTGGATCACTGTCCACTTCCTCAGGAGCAGATGCAAGATAGATGTCTCTAAAAAAAAAAATAAAATAGAATAAAAAAGAAAAAAAATATTGATAATATTAAATAAGGATGGATAATTATTAGTGACATTGATTATGATCAGATTTACTATTGTCTGCAGTTATCGGTAAAGAGCAGTAATAAATAGTAAAAAATAGTAAAAAAAAATAACCTAAAATTATTTTAGGTTATTTTTTTTTTACTATATTACAAATAAAAAAATAATAAATTCATTAATATATCAGGAGAAGATGCAAGATAGATATCTCTAAAAATAAATAAATGTAATAAAAAAGATAAAATATTGATATTAATAAGGATGGATCATTATTAGTGACATTGATTATGATCAGATTTACACATAATGTGTTGAAAAAACATAATTGTATGACAAATTAAAATTGCATCTCAAAGGTAGACGCGTTTCATGGAGCACTGTCCACTTCCTCAGGAGAAGATGCAAGATAGATGTCTCTAAAAAATAGATAAATAAAATAAAAAAAAGATGAGGAAAAAGAAAAAATATTAATACGGATGGATCATTATTAGTGACATTGATTATGATCAGATTTACTATCGTCTGCCGTTATTGGTAAAGAGCAGTAATATTTTTAGGGTTTTTTTTTTTACTATTACAAATAAAAAAATAATAAATTCATTAATATGTGTTGAAAAAAAAAAAACAAAAAAAACAGTTGTATGACATATAAATTTAATTGCGTCTCAAAGCTTGACGCGTTTCGTGGATCACTGTCTACATCCTCAGGAAAAAGATGCAAGATGTCTCTAAAAATAAATATAATAAAAAAGATGAGGAAAAAGAAAAAAAATTAATAAGGATGGATCATTATTAGTGACATTGATTATGATCAGATTTACTATCGTCTGCTGTTATTGGTAAAGAGCAATAATATTTTTAGGGGTTTTTTTTACTATTACAATTAAAAAAAATAATAAATTCATTAATATGTGTTGGAAAAAAAAAAAAAAAAAAAAACAAACCAATTGTATGACATATAAAATTAAAATTGCATCTCAAAGCTCGACGCGTTTTGCGGATCACTGTCCACTTCCTCAGGAGCAGATGCAAGATAGATGTCTCTAAAAAATGAATAAATAGAATAAAAAAAGAGAAAAAAATATTGATATTAATAAGGATGGATCATTATTAGTGACATTGATTATGATCAGATTTACACAATGTGTTGAAAAAAAGAAAAAAACAATTGTATCTCAAAGCTCGACGCGTTTCATGGATCACTGTCCACTTCCTCAGGAGCAGATGTACGATAGATATCGCTAAAAATAAATAAATATAATAAAAAAAAGAGAAAAATATATTAATAATAAGGATGGATCAGTATTAGTGACACTGATTATGATCAGATTTACTATTGTCTGCACTTATCGGTAAAGAGCAGTAATATTTTAATTTTTTTTTTGTTTTTTGGGGCTTTTTTTTTTTTTAACAATTACAAATAAAAAAAATAATAAATTCATTAATATGTGTTGAAAATGAAGGTACCCATGCTATAGATCTCTTTTGTTTTATCATGGTTTATATTTATTTAACCCGTATTACGTTCTCACATATTGCGGTTTCTTGTTGGGGTCCTTTTTGACCACGACCGGCCTACAGCAGACGCCGACACGCACGCCTCATCACCATGACAACCTGACGTAATCGCTCGCTAATTGGGCTCTAACGCAGTGATAAATCCCTTTGCAGGAACCAGACATCCTGATCCCATTTAACCGAGGAGCTCTGATTGGCTTGGTGGTGGTGTCCGTTGCCGTGGCGTTGGTTATAATTCTCAGCCTACTTCTGATCCGGCGCAAACCCTACGGGACCATCAGCCACGGGATTATCGAGGTGAGATCATCTGTGTGTCCCGACAGTGTTTGTCTTTGTCTCATCCTACCCTGAATCACCGAAGAGGCATTTGGTGTCGATCTTCAACGGTTTGTATATTTTATTGATTTGACCTTCCCTAACCGTGTGACCATTTCTAGATTTAAAGGAAACCTTTTCTTTGGGACAAGTATGGGGCACTGTTCCTCCCCCTGACACCAACGATGGGGCACTGTTCCTCCCCCTGACACCAACGATGGGGCACTATTCCTCCCCCTGACACCAACGATGGGGCACTATTCCTCCCACTGATACCAATGATGGGGCACTGACACCAATGATGGGGCACTATTCCTCCCACTGACACCAACGATGGGGCACTATTCCTCCCACTGACACCAATGATGGGACACTATTCCTCCCACTGATACCAATAATGGGGCACTATTCCTCCCCCTGACACCAACGATTGGGCACTGTTTCTCCCACTGACCCCAATGGTGGGACACTGTTCCTTCCATCAATACCAAAGATGGGGCGCTATTCCTCCCACTGACACCAACGATGGGGCGCTATTCCTCCCACTGACACCAACGATGGGGCGCTATTCCTCCCACTGACACCAACGAAGGGGCGCTATTCCTCCCACTGACACCAACGATGGGGCGCTATTCCTCCCACTGACACCAACGATGGGGCGCTATTCCTCCCACTGACACCAAACGATGGGGCGCTATTCCTCCCACTGACACCAACGATGGGGCGCTATTCCTCCCACTGACACCAACGATGGGGCGCTATTCCTCCCACTGACAGCAACGATGGGGCGCTATTCCTCCCACTGACAGCAACGATGGGGCGCTATTCCTCCCACTGACAGCAACGATGGGGCGCTATTCCTCCCACTGACACCAACGATGGGGCTCAATTCCTCCCACTGACACCAAAGACGGGGCACTATTCCTCCCACTGACACCAAAGACGGGGCACTATTCCTCCCACTGACACCAAAGACGGGGCACTGTTCCTTCCACTGACACCAACGACGGGGCACTGTTCCTCCCACTGACACCAACGACGGGGCACTGTTCCTCCCACTGACACCAACGACGGGGCACTGTTCCTCCCACTGACACCAACGACGGGGCACTGTTCCTCCCACTGACACCAACGATGGGGCACTGTTCCTCCCACTGACACCAACGATGGGGGACTATTCCTCCCACTGACACCAACGATGGGGCACTATTCCTCCCACTGACACCAACGATGGGGCACTATTCCTCCCACTGACACCAACGATGGGGCACTATTCCTCCCACTGACACCAACGATGGGGCACTATTCCTCCTCTTACTGATCACAAATGCTACGTAATTTTTTTTTACTCCCACTGGCCACATTCCGGCCCCCTAAAGTCTAAAGGACATTACACCAGATCCCTGTTTAGAGCAGGGGACTACAAAAAAAAAAAAAAAAGACTTTCTAAAGTACAAAAGTTGTAAACAAAAAAAAAACTGCCTTAGCCCTTTTATTGCTTTTTTCAAAAAAGTAGAACATTTTTGGCTGGCTAAGCTAGGACTTTATTGCAGCAGAAAATGAAGTGTAAGGCCGGCCATAAATGGGTTGAAAATCGACCGATTTTTCATCCGAAATGAATAATCGGCTGACTTTCACTCTGTTAGTGGGGTCAATGGCACCGGGCCGATTTTTGTGGTTCCTCCCCTTTTTGGTGATCAGACAATGTTGAAAAATTCATGAAAAACAAACAATTTTCGACTCAATGATGGTCAAATCGTACGATCGTTTGAAAAGAATATGCGCGCGAGCCGTGACCTGGAAGTAACAGAAGTTTGACCTGGGTGAAATTTATGACTTGGTCGGCCGATTTTCGAAAGCAATGATGGCGCTGTCGGATTACCGAGCGAACGGTTAAGGATGGTCAAATCTAGAAATGGGCCACGCGGTTAAAGAAAGGTCAAATCTAGAAATGGGCCACGCGGTTAAAGAAAGGTCAAATCTAGAAATGGGCCACGCGGTTAAAGAAAGGTCAAATCTAGAAATGGGCCACGCGGTTAAAGAAAGGTCAAATCTAGAAATGGGCCACGCGGTTAAAGAAAGGTCAAATCTAGAAATGGGCCACGCGGTTAAAGAAAGGTCAAATCTAGAAATGGGCCACGCGGTTAAAGAAAGGTCAAATCTAGAAATGGGCCACGCGGTTAAAGAAAGGTCAAATCTAGAAATGGGCCACGCGGTTAGGGAAGGTCAAATCTAGAAATGGGCCACGCGGTGAGGGGAGGTCAAATCTAGAAATGGGCCACGCGGTGAGGGGAGGCCAAATCTAGAAATGGGCCACGCGGTGAGGGAAGGTCAAATCTAGAAATGGGCCACGCGGTGAGGGAAGGCCAAATCTAGAAATGGGCCACGCGGTGAGGGAAGGTCAAATCTAGAAATGGGCCACGCGGTGAGGGAAGGTCAAATCTAGAAATGGGCCACGCGGTGAGGGAAGGTCAAATCTAGAAATGGGCCACGCGGTGAGGGAAGGTCAAATCTAGCAATGAGCAACGCGGTTAGTGATGGTCAAATCTAGAAATGGGCCACGCGGTTAGGGAAGGTCAATTCTAGAAATGGGCCACGAAGGGAAGGGAAGGTGAAGCGAATCGTTCAGAATTCGGACCGCGTATGGCCTGCATTACGGAAAATGTCTGCCTAACGTTATAAATGCGATTTGAACGTTGACCGCCATTTTAACCCCCCACCCCTCTTCCTTTTTTTTTTCTTTTGCAGGTCGAAGCTTCCAGGAACCCCGAGGACAAGCACCTGAGCAAGATGCAGAACCAGGGCTACGAAAACCCAACCTACAGATACCTGGAAGAGAACAACTGAGGGCCGGAGCGGGGGTGTCGGCGGGTTCTATTATTTTTGGGCGGAAGGGAAGGGGGTTTTACTTCAGGGGGAGGTACAATATAGGTCAGGGGTGGGGAAAAAAAAAAAAAAAACAGGGAATATTTAATAAAGAAGGGGGTGCAGCTAAAGAATATTTGCCCCTCCCCCCTCCAGGAACAAGGGTGCACCATACCTGATCCTCTGATTCCAGCCAGATAGCATCATCTAGGACACAACGGGTTAAAAGCGTCCGCCTCTCTCCCCTGTGAATGCACTTAAATTATTTATGACTACGAAGGGAAAAAAAGAGACGGTCAGCACTAACCTCTCGTTGTGAGATATTCCCCGATTACTAGTCGCCCCGTACCGTAACCGCAAGCCCCTCCCCCCCACAAAATCCTGGCTAATGGCGTTCTCGCTTCTTAACGCGGAGAATCCAGCAGTGCATTGCAGCATCGATGGCTTCCGATTCTATCACACACCTCCCCCCCCCCCTCACCCCACAGTCACTCTTTTTGCTGCTTCATAATTTATTTAACGTTCGACCTTTCTGTGGCTAGGTAAGGAAGGGTCTCGCCCTCGTCCGACAAAACCCGAGTGCCTGTAACCCCGCCCCCACCCCCCGAATCTCAAACGATCGAGGCGTTTTTCCCGCGGCGCAAGGTTTCGCTCTTCAAGTGTTGTGAACAGAAACTACCTTTGTATATGTGTCAGTCTGGGGCTTTGATTGGTCGTTAAAAGCCAAAGGAGCGTTGGCCTCAAGCGAGATACCCGGCTGATTAGGCGCTGATGGAAGCAGCAACCCAAATCTAACCAAAACCTTTTTTTTTGGGGATAGAGAAAAGTTTAGAATCTATAAAGTTTTTTTATTGATGTGTCCCCCATAGGAAGACAACTTTTACTTCCTGTTCTGGTGGCACAGTCTGTCAAGGCCTACAGGGTGTTTTCCCAACAGGGGGCCATAGATTGCAATACCAATATGACAATGGATTTAATCTTCTTCTCTATCCAAAAACAAAAATGTGAACCCATTCGCTTCCCAACAGGAGTTGACGCCTTACGGCTCAGCGAACGCCCGTGGTCACCATAGTCTAATACAGAGTCTTGCTTTAAGACAGGGCCCCTTTAAGATGGTCGGGGCGTAGCTGAAGCTCACTCACTACAGAGGTACATTGAAGCTAGCCTTTTTTGTGGCTGAACTGTCCCACATGATGCCGTACCTTCAACTTAATGACACCTTCATGGACGCGGGCGACTGACTCATGCGTCGGCCTTGGCAGGCGCCCGCGACTCTTTCATACACAGCTGCCACAATTTCACCACGTGCCATGTGAAACATCTTAAAGCCACATCGACACTCGTATTTTTGCGGCATGCAGATGATTCCTGCACTGGCCGAACCAAGGAGCAGTGTTACGTTGAGTGGAAAGTGCAATGGTTAGGCACCTCAAATTGTATGCCAACCATATGCTGAGAATGAAGGCAAGGAACAGAAAGAGTGAACCATAGTCAAGCCATCTTGGAGGATACATTTGAAGGCAAAGGAAAGAGTGAAGCATAGTCAAGCTATCTTCTAGGATAGGTTTGAAGGCAAGGAAAGGAAAGAGTGAACCATAGTCAAGCCATCTTGAAGGATACGGTTGAAGGCGAGGAACGGAAAGAGTGAACCATAGTCAAGCCATCTGTAAGGATACATTTTAAGGCAAGAAACAGAAAGAGTGAAGCATAGTCAAGCCATCTTGAAGGATACATTTGAAGGCAAGGAACAGAAAGAGTGAAGCATAGTCAAGCCATCTTGAAGGATAGGTTTGAAGGCAAGGAAAGGAAAGAGTGAACCATAGTCAAGCCATCTTCTAGGTTAGGTTTGAAGGCAAGGAAAGAGTAAACCATAGTCAAGCCATCTTCTAGGATAGGTTTGAAGGCAAGGAATGAAAAGAGTGAAGCATAGTCAAGCCATCTGGAAGGATAGGTTGGAAAGCAAGGAACAAGCAGAGAACCATAGTCAAGCCATCTTCTAGCATAGGTTTGAAGGCACGGAACAAAAGAGTTAACCATAGTCAAGCCATCTGGAAGGATAGGTTTGAAGGCAAGGAACAGAGAGAGTGAAGCATAGTCAAGCCATCTGGAAGGATAGGTTGGAAAAGCAAGGAACGGGAAGAATGAACCATAGTCAAGCCATCTTCTAGGATAGGTTTGAAGGCAAGGAACGAAAAGAGTGAACCATAGTCAAGCCATCTAGAAGGATAGGTTTGAAGGCAAGGAACAGAGAGAGTGAAGCATAGTCAAGCCATCTGGAAGGCTAGGTTGGAAAGCAAGGAACAGAAAGAGTGAAGCATAGTCAAGCCATCTGGAAGGATAGGTTGGAAAGCAAGGAACGGGAAGAATGAACCATAGTCAAGCCATCTTCTAGGATAGGTTTGAAGGCAAGGAACGAAAAGAGTGAACCATAGTCAAGCCATCTTGAAGGATAGGTTTGAAGGCAAGGAACGGAAAGAGTGAAGCATAGTCAAGCCATCTTGAAGGATACGTTTGAAGGCAAGGAACAGAAAGAGTGAAGCATAGTCAAGCCATCTTGAAGGATAGGTTTGAAGGCAAGGAACAGAGAGTGAAGCATAGTCAAGCCATTTTGAAGGCAAGGAGCAGAAAGAGTGAACCATAGTCAAGCCATCTTGAAGGATAAGTTAATTCCAACAGGTTCACTCTGTAGATACTAAGGGGTGCAATTTAAAAAAAAAAAAATAGATGTTCATCCTTCAAATCTGTATGTACATTCATTCTGTGTAACGGGCAAAATCGAATGTTCTCAGGCTATATTCTCTGCAGACTGAATGTTATTCAATGAAAATAAACGGGGAAAATACCACGTTATGGCCATTCAAGGACAATGATTGTCATAAAGAATAAGAATGCTCCTCAACTCCATCAAGTGGCCAAAATGCAGTATTTTCCCCATTTTACACTTTTTCAATGAATGTCAGTCAATCTGCCCCCATGCATGCTGTTTCGATGGATGAACACCTATGCAACATTTTTATAAATAGTCACAAACACACACACACACGCAGATTGCACCTGGAATTGACCACCAGTTCAGTTATTGCTTGGTTGGATCCACCAAAAGGTGCCCCAGTAACGTCTATAGCCCATCAGGTCAAAACTAAGCCCCAGCGGTGGCAATTTAATCCCTGTACTGAACACCCCGCCGCGTCAGCACCTTTATCACACACGGATTGTAGCGGCTGCACTTCCCGGCAGCCGGTCATACCGATAGTCGTTGTAAATATGAGTGTACATATGTGTTTTAGATCAGTAATAAGAGGCCTTTTTTTTTTGTCCCGTTCTTACATCCCTAATGTAACAAACTATGACCTTTCCCACTGATTTGACCAGATCCAGGTTACTGGGCACAGGGTCACATGAGATAACGTCCCAGACTTTCACCACACGGTAACAAAAACCCGATGCATGGCGTCATCGGCCAAAGGGACCCCAACCCCCCTCCCCCCCCCCCACACCCGGGACATGGCTGTAGGCTGCGTTTACCGTCACGTGTGTTTGCTTCTCAGTCCCGTCACAGTCAGGCTTTATACCATGCAGACTAGGCCGAGTCAGCCGCGTACTTTGTAGTTTCAGGATGCCAACCGCAGACTTTGGAGACTAAAAAAAAAAAATAAAAAAAAAAAAAAATGTTTAACAGTTGTCTTATCATCATGCATTAAAACTGTAGCATGTGTGATAATCTGGCTCTGAATGGTTTTCCTTGTTTATTACAGCAGACGGGCTTAATAAGGGGTCGTGGTGGACCCTTATCGAGGGGTTGTGTGGCATGGTGGGACCAGACCTTGAAACATCATCCCTAGCAGGGACTCTAGCTGGGGAAATGGTCTGGTGCAGGGGCGGACTGACCCTGCGGGCACTGCCTGAGGACCTGGGGTCAGTAGGGAGCCCCATGAGATGCCCCTGGTACCTTTCATAGACTTTCTTGGGTGTGGTTTGAGTGTGAGCGAGGACATGGGCCCCCATGATCCCCTATTGCCTGGCAGCCCCATGAGTTGTCAGTCCGCCCCTGGTCTGGTGGACCATCATTGAATGTCCAGGTAATGGAAACTTGAGGCCTATTGGAGTCAGGACAAACGTGGGTGTGTCCATGAGATCCAGTGGGTCACAATAACCGCATTATAGCTGTAGTATGAAGAGGTAAGAGAGCTTGAAGAACCAAAATAGAGAAGACCAAGTGGTTGAGCAGTGAGTTGCGTGGCGGACTAGACCTTGCAACATGGTCCCTTGGCAGTAGTCTCTACCTGGCTCCAGTTGAGGAAGAGGCCTGGACCATTATCGAATGTCTAGGTCAGAGGTGGGCAACCTGCGGCTCTCCAGCTGTTGCAGGACTACAAGTTCCATCATGCCTCTGCAAGTCATAGCTTTAACTGTCAGTTTTGCAATGTCTCTCGAGACCTGTAGAGTCCTGCTTGTAACTTTCGGTCTTAGCAATGCCTCATGGGAAATGTAGTTCCACAACAGCCGGGAGAGCAACAGGTTGCCCACCCAGGTCTAGCTGATGGAATGCTTGAGGTCTAAGGCATGATGGACTTCAATGTTAGCATGTCCATAAACCAAACCTAGGGGTTCTATAAAGCATTTTTTGGCGTAGCCAAGTATGAAGATACACCAGCAGGGCAGTGATGCCCTAGGATCAGAATAACTACATTGATCCTCCTAATGACTCCTCTTTAGGAGACGTAATTCAATGACCTAATCCTTCACTTGAGACCGTGGAGGACCTCTAGTGCTTGGGGATTATGGTGAGCATAGCAGAAATAAAGACACAGCAGGAAAAGACTTTACATTAAAAAGAACTTGTGCCAAGATTGCAAACGTGCCAACACTACGGTCATTTAAATATTCGCTCATTCTTAAACAGGAAGTGCTTTAAAAGCAAGCCCTCACTGATCTCTGTAGATGAAAGCACTGAGGAGCAATTTATCCACAGGGTTCACAAC